AGTTGCGCTTCCTCTGCTGGAAAACAAGGCTGGGAGATATTTTGGCCTTAAGCTCCTCTTGGCCCCAAGACGTGCTACGCAATTTTCTTTAGCCCGGACCTTGTGACAATTAAGCGATTCCTTGTGTTCCAGCCACCCGCTGTGATCACGAGGCTTTCCAGGAGCATGTCCTCAGCTTTAGTTTCCTTTCCTAAACGTGAGGCTGAACGTGCTGTCAGTCAGCTCGTTGGCAGAGGCTGCTGCTGAGCCCGGAGCAATGCTCTTCCTCCATCTGTGCTCCATCCCGGCCAACATCTGGGCTGCTGTAGGACACGGGTTGCTCACCTTCCCCACCACCAGCACCTACGGGGTGGCACCACCACAGTCCCTGGCGTGCTAGATCCGCTGCCCCTTGCTTTCTGAGATGGAGCAGCCACTAGTGCTGTGCTTGATGAATTGGTGGGGACAAGGGGACTGGAATGCTCTGGGAAATAGGAGTTTCCCTCTTGGAAATGTCACAGGAAGCATGGAGGAAATCATGTGGTTTAGGAGCGGTTACCTCACTTGTCTGTCTCATCTGAACCAGCGCCCTTTCATCAAAGTATACAGAACCTAAACAATGCGATGCCAGCTGGCTTATAAATAAACCATTTGCCATTTCCACACCGGGTATCGGGCTGACTTTTAATACCATGTGAGGAGAAAGGAAAAGCGTCACGTTGTGTTGGCTTGTGACCTTTCAGATTGACTGCCCGGCTTCCTACCCGCTTGCTTCCCCTTGCTCTGCTGTCCTAGTTAATAACTCTTCCACATGTTCTCTTTCGGAGCACAGCCCAGAAATGGTCAGCTTTGTAGGTAGCCAGAGCTATTATGTTTATAGAATATATATATATATATATATATTTCATATTCTCCTTGTTCTGCCAAAGCTGCTGAGGATTGCTAGCAAACAGATTGTGGTGAAATGCATCCAGAGTCGTGGTGCTGCCACTTTTTCTTCCTCCTGGTGAGATGGTACCATGGGGCCGTGTTAGTATTTCAAAGTGGGTGCATCTCCAGCAAGGAAAGAGCCTTGAACATCCTGTAGCTCCTGTTGACTCTTTCGCTGATGGGCTCTAAGGGAAAACGCCCAGTATCGCTGGTTTTAAATAGACAGCTCCATCTGCACGGATGGGATAATGCAAGAGTCCTTTTTAATGTTCCTGTGGCTGAATCATGGAACATAAATGTTTGAGTCACTGCAGATGAATGTGGTGTTTCACGTTGGTGTGAACTGAAATGTGAACAACAGTGTCTTTATTACAGGAGCTAATATTTGTGTTCATTATGGGTTTCATTAGATTTTAAAGTGAAACAATCCAGAAGAGTTCCTTTTACAATGTATATAAACAGACTATTAACATTTGAATGCCGGGCTTTTAATGGGATGCTGGTCTGGATGGAGAGGAAATGAAACTTGGGAGGAAAGCGATGTACCCCGCTTCTCGGGCGTTTACTGCTCGGAACCGGTCATCTTTCAGCCATCTGACTCTCCTGAAATCCTGTAAAAATTTCATGTACCTGGGATTTCTTGGTTGCTGTGGTTTTTAGAAGAAAATATGGAAGGGACTATCAGCTCTATCTCTTGCTTTCCTGTAGAAAGCTCTTTGCTGTTTCAAGCTCTTTCTTCTCATAAAGGTCCTCACCCGTCCCTGAGGAGTAAAGGCTTTACTTTGATTTCTTCTGGTTGCTGCTATGTCAGATGGCCCTTCTGCATTATTATGGGAATTTTGGACACTTGTTACTTGTCCTCGCTTGAAATGTGGCTTTTTCCTTTATCTTAGATGTGCAGTTGGATGGGGGCTGAGGTTTTGTCTCGCTGCTGTTGGGAGAGCTGAAGCAACCTTACCAGATGGGGTGCAGAACCCTGAGCGTCGGTGCTCTGTGCTCTCGGTGGGAGCTGGCGAGGAGCTGGGGCAGGTTGTTTCGTCCCGTATTTTTTCCCCAGCTGTGAAACAAAGCACTATGAATGCAAAGGGTTACTTAAGAGCGCACTAAGTACGGCTGCTCTTACGCTCTGTCCTCGGGCTGGAGTGAGAGAGGAACATTCTTTTTGCATTGTGTCTGCTGGTGCAGAATTTGCACCTTTCTTTGCAGGTTCTTCTGGCCAGGAGCCCACCTTGAAAATAGTGATGTTGGTGTTACTTTAGATTTGGATTTCTACTGTTCTTTGCGTTTTGTCATCCCTCTCTGATGGGGTTTTGGGTTTTTCTACCCCAAAGAGGAGGGTTGTTGCTGATACTCCTAAAGGATGTTTGAAGTCTAAACCCAGTGGCAATTTGAAATGCAGATTTGTAGCTCTGCTCCTTGAGCACCACAGCCTTGCACATCAGAAGCAAATATTAATGCTTCTGGTACAAACTATTTACCAGTGCCTTTGCCAAATAGTCTTGTTGTTCTCTTTGCGATGGTTTGTGAGGCCTGATCAACGATATGGGGGTATGAAAGTGCTTAATAGCACGATTGTCTTTTCACAGCCTAGTGAGTTACCGCACGGCACTGGAGCCCAAGTGACTGTTGTAGGTGCACTTGGACTGCAGCCGCTGTGAATTTAGATGTGTTACAGTCACTTCCATTGAAATTTAAGCTAATGTTTCATGTTTTACTAATGCAGAAATAAGAGGTTGGGGATATGATTGTGCTGCTGTGCTTTAACAACCTACCGTGTGTCATCTGTTCTGCAGCAGAGCTTTGTGCGCTCTTAATTCACAGCAAATGCAATATAAAATGCAATGCCTTTAATCTCCTTGGAAGTCAGGCAAGTCTAGATGCAGTGTTTAGCGTTCTGCAGCGTTCCAAGATGCAGGGATATTTTTTCCAGACCTCCTTCCAAGCTGGACAGCTGATTTACAGACTTGGAGAAGTCTTCTAGCCTCTATCTCCAAACTTTGTGCATCTCTGCCAGATGGCAGCGTATTTAAATGGCTTTAAAATAGCTTTTTCTTTGTTTCAAAGCAAAGAGTCTTAAATGAGGTGGAGCGTGCCTGTGAATCAGTATGGTAATTGCCCACAATGAAAATCAAAAGTACTTGGAAGACTGACTACTCTGGCTGACCAGACAAACGCAGGGCTCCTCTTCCGAGTGCAGAGATGTCTGGTGGTGGGAGGTGGAGAAGAGCAACGCTTTCAGGAACGTCCATATGCTCTGTGCGAGGGAGGAGTGTGCTATTTGCTCCTCCGCCTCCACGTGTCTGCTGATCCCTTGCTACTCCACCTGCTCCTGCCACCGTGCTCGTGCTGTCCGTGGGGATGGCGGTCATCTGCTCGGGATGCAGGTTAAGGACAAGTTAGGTGGGTTACGGACCTCAAGGGTTAAGGATGAGTTGGGGGCTGGTGCAGAGGTGTCCTGCTCCCTCTCCCGTGTTTTTACAGCTGTGCTTTGGAAGGGAGGAGTGGATTTAGCAAGCTGTCCAATGGTATGTCCAGTATTTTAGTGGAGGAACCAGGAGCATCAGCATCTTCCAGGTGTGTTTGTGGCTTAGGTGGAGTTTTATTAGATTTCAGAACTACCCTTTCCCTTTTCTGGGGTGTCTCGGCTGCAAAACCTGCCTCCCACTGTGACATGCGGCTGTGAACGACCATCTCTGCTGCTGTGAAGCAGGTGTTCGCTTTGAATGTCTGTTCTGACTAATGTGCGGCATCGATTGTTCCCAGCTGCACCAGCCCAAATTGACAATCTTGGATTTTGTTGTTTCCCAGAATAGAAGATTTTTTACTATTGGGACTGCTGCAGTAGTGAGCTTGTCCTGAACTCTTCCTGGCTGCCTGAGTAATATTCAGCGATATTGAAGTTCTGCGGCTGCTGGCCTGACAAGGACAGGCACCTCGAGGGCTGCAGCAAATCTCAGTCTGTTTAAAACTGCTTTTTTCCTACAGCCCTTCCTACAGTGGAGGGAGCAAACCTGGATGTGTCAGTAGGGTTCAAGTTCCTGATTACTCACTGGTGTGATGCTGCAGCAAATTCCTGTATGATTTTGAAAATTGTTTTTCCTTTTCCTGTGAGTTAAGATTAAGCTTCTGGATGTTTAAAAGTGCGTGTGTGGTGCGGTGTACAGGGAATGATCTGTAGGTTCACTGAAGTCCTAACACAAATTTTGATTGAAAAAAAAATAAAAATAATGCAAGTGGACCTATTTAAACTCTGGAGAGCTTTCTTACTGTGATGTAAATGCTGAGGGGGATATTGTTACCTGAACTCTCAAGATGTGATACACAAATAAAAAATAAGCTCTTACTTTCCTTGTTAAGTTTAAATGAAACAGAAGACACGCTCCCCGCTCCTACCTTATTCCTGGTAACTTCAGTGGAGAGAAGAATTGCTATGAAATTGTGTTTTTATTAGACGGTGTGCTAGATGCATATCAGCTCAGGCACTCTTTTTGAAATTCCCTTTACTCTCAGGATAGTGCAGCTCCTGCAACAGTTAGAGTACCACGCTTTGCTTTCTCATTCATGGCCCGTTTGGGAGGTGAAACCCCTCCATACATTGGCCGGTGCGGTTTCTCCAAGCTCTTCCTTGAGCAAAACACCCGGGTCTCCCTCTCTCCTCGCTTCCAGCTTTTCTCTCTTCTCCCTAAACTTGATGCGGGGAAGGAGCGAGGCGTGTTGATAATTTGGATTATGCAGCTAAGTGGCTGGAGCGTGGCTGGTTGTCTCCTCCCCTTCCTGAGCTTCGGCCCTAGCCAGCTCGGCTCTGGAATGACAGGCATGCCTGCGTGAAGGGAGCTGGCACGGACGCCTATTTATGAGAATCAAGTGCCCGACCATGGGGTACGGGAAGAACAGGACCTGTGCTGGACCGTCAGACAGCCGTGCCGTTGCCTGAGAGTTGGCAGCCGCCTCGCTCGCCGGGCTCTTCCCCAGTCCGAAGCGTGGATTTATCATTTTAAAGGACTAAAGTGCTCTCTCAGGGTAGACTTTTTTTTCCCCCCCTTCTCTCCCCCTCCCGCCTCCTCCCGGAGAGCTGCTGAGAAAAGAATCTAATGGGGCAGCCGCACTTCTCGAGACCGGTAAATCCAGCTGCTTTTGGTGAGTAATGGAGGGCAAGGGAGACGGAGGAAACTTTGGGGCTGCGGCAGGGCAGGATTGCAGGTGAAACGGAGGAGTCGGGAGGAGTGGAACGCGGGGCTTGTGTAACCTGTGCCCGGCTTGGGAGCTGGGAAGAGAAACCAGAGAAATAACTCCGTTTCCTTCCTCTCTTCTTACTCATGTCACATGCAATTGCTGTGCAACATGTTCTGCTGATCTTTAGACAGGCTCTGAGCTGCAGTTTTTAGGGATAGCCTCTGTCCTGCCTGGCCAGGTTTAGGGTCTCTAGCTTTGCAAAGCGTTTGGACAGCAGTAAAATTCACCGGAGTGGGGTAGGAGCCAGCCCCGATGGTCTGCCCGGACCAAAGCTGCCCAGATCACCTCCTTGTGCGTGATGTCACCCAGCTTTTTGGGGCAGCCGTGGTAGTTTTCGGGAGAGAAGGGGCTTGGCAGTCACCTTCCTGCTTGTTTTCTTTTTCTGCTCTGTGAGGTATCGGAGTAACTGGGGGGCCGTAGCAAACACAACCTTGCTTAAAGTCCTGGCAGTAGCACTTCTTCCAGAACACGGTGTGTAGGTCTGTGTTGTTTCCAGGTCTGTCTTAGGTGCTGTTCCCGGCGCTGGGTCTCCCATGCCCTGACTATAAGAGGAGACTTTACGCATTGTGCTGTTGGCTCTTATCTCATACCGGCTTGCTGTCAGCTGTCTGGACTGAGTTGCTTACTCTCATCTGTAAAGCGGAATTATCTGATTTTTAGAGAAACACTTGACATTTGCTCATGGAAAGCTCCCTGAGATATAGACTTTCTTTTTCCCCCATTCTTTTTCACTTTTATAACTTTGAACCTACCAAGTATTTTTAGGGCTGGGATTAAACCAGTGATTCTCTCTTCCCCACCCCCAGTTCACTCCAGCTAGTCCTGTTCAAGAGCTGCTAAAAATATTGAGAGAGTGGAAGGGAGGAGTAAAACTTCAGTCATCTTCGTACTGTCAGTGGAGATTAACAGCATCTTCTCCTTGGATTTATGTGCTGTTAGAAGCCGACCTGCTCAGTCTCGGGCTCTTTCTCTCATCGAGCACCAGAGACAGTGGTAGTTTTCAGGAGTGGGCTCACTTGGTGTAACGACATTGTCCTTTGCCGGAGACTGGCAACCAGCAGACCTGGTGTTTCCTCAACTGGTCATTTGCTATCTGGAGTCTCGTGGCGCAGCTTGCATAGTTCCTACTGAATAAATTGCGAACTTGAAGAGATAGTTCTTGCATGAACTTTGGCAGGATGCTGTTGAAAAGAAAAGATTATGGTGACTAGAAACGTGCAGGACAGGGAAGCTGAGAGCTGGGACTATTTGAGGCTGTTTTGTGACAACAGTCTTTTTATTGCTTGTAAGGTCAGGATTCACGTCTTCCCTGGACTGTTCAGGAAATGCACGTGAAGTTTTTAAAGCTGTTCTAGGAAGCTAGAAACATTTACCTAAAGTGCTTTTTTGATACTTTAACCTTAACAGCATTTCCCTCAAAAGAGTCTTTGTTTGCTTTTTGAGTTGTAGCTGTTTGCTTGAAAGCTTTTTGGATTCTTAACTGCTCTGCCTGGCACAACAAAGCCAAAGAGGAGGGAGCTGAATTATTCTCCAGCCTGGGCATCAGTACTGTTTTGGCAACGGGAGGGTTTGTCGCAGTCCCACGGCGTGAATCGGTGAGGATCCGGCGCAGGCTCAGTGTTGCGAGGCAGTGGGTCCCGCTGTAGCCTTAGGTCCGGGCTGTACAGCAAAACATGCCCAAACTGCCAAACGTTGGGTGTATAATGAGCAGCCACATTCTCAGCCAAAGTTTCCTGATGCACCTTCTGGGCTTGTGTGATAGCAGAACTTGGGGGGGGTGGGGGTGGGGGTGTGTGACTTAGGAAAATAAAGGTGATTAACCAGAAGCGTTCGGAGTTGGTGCCGTGGCATTGAAGTGCCTAATTTGTCTGAGTGCTTTTTAGCTCTCAGCTAAGCGTTTACACTGGCTTTTGCTGTAGCGTAGTCAAGCTGCTGCAGTTATGTCTGTCTGCGAGCCTTGAGGCTATGACTGTGAGACAGAAATGCCTGGTGAGCTCCTTGTGAACAGAAACTCCTGGGATTTGTGGAAATCCTGTAGTAACTATTATGATAAGAGATGGATCAGGTTCTGAGTGAACTGTGGTTTGCAGATGGAAAGAATCTGGCTCAAGCTCATGATTTACACACTATGCCAGTCCTGTGTCAAAGCAAAATACTGATGCTTTCTTGTTTCCTTTGGGAGGATGTCTCTTAATGAGGATTGACTTTAACAGATCTTACATCTCTGAAAAGGACTGGGGCAAAGAGCCTGTTGTTGTGCAGGCAGTGGTGAGACACGTCTTCTTTTGGGGTTAGTCTGTTCCACCAACTCTTGGATGCCTGCAGAGAGATTTCAGGGAGAAAAGCAGTGTGTTCTCAGTCTTTTCCTAACAACTTCGGTCTGCAGTCCTGTCCTGGGGCTCACTGACCCTTCATCCTTAAAGGATTGTGCCATTTGCTTCATAAACAGTGGAAATCAGTGCTTTCCCTCCTAGGCATATAGCAATATAATATGAATTGTCAGCATCTGGGATGCAATTCTTTGATTTCTTCACGGCCTTCAGTCTTGCTTTGTTAGGTCTCTAACTTGAATCTTGAAGTGATTTTTAGCTTATGTAATGGTGTGCCAGTTAAAAACAAAATAAATAAAACTTCTCTATAGCCTTGCTGGCTTTTGATGGTGTGGGGCCTGAGTTAAAATGGTTTAAAGATTCACCAGGACTAATCCTGCAATGATCTACGCTAGATACAGTTTGGGTTTAATTTTTTTTGTTAATACTGTGCATCGGAGGTGCCACTATCTCAGGTACTGTTGCAGGTATCTTCCCCGTGAGAGATGATCCTTCATGAAAGAAATGCTTTTTTCACTTATTCCTGATGGTGCCTGAAGTCTCTACTGTGCCTTTTTGTAGGCTGGTAGTGCATTGCTGTACAAAAGGGTATTCTGGGGCTTGATCTCTGAAGATGGGGGTTAACTATATTTGCTCACATGATGGCTTTTCCTTCCTTGGACCACGGTGTGACCATTAAAGCATTACATTTATATGTTGGTATTTCCTAAAGGTCAGCTAGATAGCCGCTTGTTGTTGCGAGCGTCCTGTGTGCATGGCAATGGTGTGAACACGTGTGGTATTTTTAATTGACCCCATGGATCCTGGCTGTGCTGGTTTGAGCCATTGAGAGCAGCGGTAAAGTGAAAGCTTTACCGTCTTTAATAGGAATGACAGCCCCAAGCCTGACAAAAGCTTTGGGAGCAGATGACACATGCAGCAGCGTGGCCACTTGCTGACTGTGTGATGAGCTTGGAGACCAACTGCAACTCTCCAGCTTCTTCCAGCGAAATGGTTTGTCTTCTCGGGAGGTGGGCGGGGAATTACAGCTCCACACCACCCATGTTCTCACACAACAGTTTGCACCTAACACAAGGTGCAGTGGGAGAAAAGCTTTTTTCCACCTGCATTTAAGCAGCAAGACTTGAGTGTAAATATGTGTAGCAGTCTCCAGGGGGAGGGTTTGGAAGACCAGCTGGCCAGGCGTACTGATGGAGAACTGCATCCCCGGCTGCTTGGCACTGCTGGAGCTTTCTGCCTTCTTCTGTCTCCAGGCTGTGCCAATTTTGTGACGTTTCCCTAGACTATTTCAGTCTAAACATTTTGGGTTAACACAAATCTGCTGTTTAAACAGCTCAAATTCACCTGCTTGTTTTGATGGAACACGCTCAGGGTGTGTTAAGCGTTCAAGAGAGAAGATCTGAGATGGCAGCAGTCTCTGGTGGGGGACGCTGGGGGACAGCAGCCAGGGCTTCGCTCCCTCCCCACACCAGCAGGGTCCTGGGGGTCTGTCCGAGGCATGGCAGGTTGGGTGTTCCAGGCCATCTTCTCGAGGAGAAGCACCCACGCTTGCTTGGGGCAACATGCTGAGGTTGCAGTAGATGTTTTATTCTGGAGTTGTTGTCAACCAGGTCGTTGCGTTAGGCATGGCGTGCTGGTGTCAGGGTGGGCTCTGTGGGACCCTCCCTGCTTCAGGGTCACTTTTCCGAAGTGGGTATTTCGTGGAGTTCCTGCAGAAAGGTTAGACAAGGTCATGCTTTGGCATAGGGACACAACACAGACCTGCTTATGGGTAAGCTCTTGACCTTCTAATGAGGACTCCACTGGGCTCACCTAGGCCTGCATGACCTCATTTAACCTTTTCCATAAATTTTAAATGGGTTTTGCAGCCTGGACCGCAGTGGAGGTGAGGCTGGCCTCTGGGACACAGACTTGCCATGCAGGTAAAGAGCCTTGGTGCCGAGCAAGGGCCGGGTCAGGCGAGGGCATCAGCTTCCTGACTCTTCTCACCCTTCCCTTAAAGCCTGGTTCCTCTTTTTTTTTTTTTTTTTTATCCCCCCCTCCTTTTCTCTTCTCTCCCCATTTCATTCCCCAAGCGCTGCACTGCGGTTCCTTAGCAGTTTCCCAGTGCATCCCTAGGATAAGGAGGTGTTTCTGCCTTGCGTTGCAAAGCGGTTTAGGCGCCCTCCTGTACCTCGTAGAGCAGAGCAAGAGGAGGCACGGAGAATCCACCTTGCCCAGGCTCCCTTTGCAGGGAAGGCAGCTTGGGCCAGAAATGTCCTCTCTACACCATTTCATGGAAATTTGAGCTGGAAATGGGTTGTGAATGGAAGGGAAGGCCCTTTTCAGAGTGAATATGAGCACTTCTCTAATGTGAACAATCACTGAACAATGAGGTTATTTAAAATACAGATCAGTAAAGCGCACCTACAGCTGTAGATCCACCCGCTAATTAGCAGTAAATGTAATTCATAATTGCATCACAACAGGCTATTTTAAATGTCTGTGTCCGCCTGGTAATTAGGGATGGTAAAAGGAAGAGTGCTGTGGAAGGGATCCGGGCATTACGAGCTCTCCGGTGAGCAGCCTGTGCTGCAGAACTGGACAGAACGAATCCCACTTTGTATTGGGGAAGGGAAATTGTTTTCACGGTATCAGTATCACCCGAAGGGCTGTCTTGGGATGTTCACACCGTTTAGTAACGTGTGCTGAGTTTTATTCTACACAGAGCAAAAAGGGTGTTGAAAATGATTTGTGGTTTTATGCTGTGAAGGGGTACGTGGTATGCCTGTCTCCATCTTGTGTGGCTGTTTCTAGACAAGAAACTGATTATAAAACAGCAAAACCGAGGGGTTTTTGATGTTGGATGAGCCCTGATGCACAGCACGAGCCTAGAAGCAGTTGATAGCATGGCTGATGGCGTGGCATGGCAAAGCAAGAACCGAATGATTCAATATCGAGGCTGAATGTCATTGTGAAACCTCGCTTTTGTATTAACCTGCGTGATTGCAATTAATGGCAGTCAGGCACCTGGTGTGAAACTCCACCCTGAGATGGTATTTGATTTGACAGCCAGCCCTGGACTGCAGGAGCTGCTGAAAGAGGTTCTTCTGCCTGGAGTAAAACTCGCATGTGGGCTCTCCCCCACCCTCCCTGCTTTTAGCCGCTCCTGCTTTGGGGATATAGTGTGTCTCCTGCAGTTTCGGCTCATCCTTTCATGTCCGCTGTTCCTCCCCGGCTGCTCGGAGGTGGCTGTGCCAGGGGAATGCTTGTCTCTCTCCCTCTAATTGGAAATGGAGACATCGCAGCTTGATGAGGTCTTCATTCATTAATCTCTGGACCTGATGGTTGAGTTTTCTTTTAATAACTTATTTTGCTTAGTGCAGCACTCTGACACCTTGGGTGGCAGACAGCACATAAGTTACATTCCGAAGAGCAGTTCAGGGAAGGGATCTATATGAAGCGAGCTCGGTACGACTGCCTTCAGCGCTGCTGCTGCTCCTTGGAAAGGTGAGGGAAATGCCTCTGCGTGGCACTTGGGATCCAAATTCAGCCCACAGCTTGTGCCTGGCAAGCGGACTTGCCTGCCTGGTAAACTTTGGGAACGCTCTATTGAACAAAGTGAATACTGCTTTTTAAAATTACATGTACAACTCCAGGGCTAATGTTCTAGTCTCTGAAGAAAGTGCCTCTAAACATCCAGACAATTTCTCTTGGGTTTCTGGGAGCTTGAAATGCCACTTTTTTTTTTTTTTTTGTCCCCACTTCCACCCTCCCTCCCGGCAGAAACTCACAGAATAGAGCCGCAGAAAATCACAGATCGGTGCTGACATCTTGTATGTTACTTTCCACCCAATTTCTCTCCTGTTATGGAGCCAGATTTGTTTTAAGAAGCAGCTCAGATGCTGAATTGATCTTGCTTTTTCAAATAAATGTTGGCTGACATCAGCTTTTCACTGGTTCCGAGTGAGCTTTCTGTTAAGTGGCTGATTTAAAAAAAATAAAATAAAATAATCACAAACCAAGAAAAAACCCAGAAGAACCCCATCAACCACCAGTGTGTGAAATCTGGAGCCCTGCGAGTGAGAGGAGAGAAACCTGTACAGATCTGGAAGGGTCATGCATTTTTAGGTAAAATCTGAAATGGCCATAATTAGCCTTTTTTCTCCTGCTGGTTGGCACAGTGGTACTTTCTTGCCACTCCAGCCTCTCGGTAAACCCGAGTTCTGGGCTGGTTTTCCTCTTCCTCTGCCATTTGGTTAGAGACTGTACTTCTCATGTGGGATCTGGATCCTCCTACTGAGATATTCTCCGGTTTCCCTCGTGCTGCTAGCATGGCCTGCTCTTCTCTTTCCTACTGTTCAGTAATCTTCCATTTCATTTGTGCTCAGACTGAAAAACTGGGGTCCGTCTGTCCTGCAGTGTTGCAGAATGACAGCCTGTGCCCAGCCCAGCTGGCCTGAGGCTGCTCAGGAGCCCAGTGGTGCCCAGTGACAGGACAAGAGGGAACGGGCACAAAGGTGACCATCGGCAGTTCCATCTCCACCTGAGGAGGGCCTTCTCTGCTGTGAGGGCGGCAGAGCAGTGGCACAGGCTGCCCAGAGAGGTGGGGGAGTCTCCCCCTCTGGAGCCATCCCAAACCCGCCTGGACGCCGTCCTGTGCCACTGCTGGAGGTGCCCCTGCTCTGGCGGGGGGTGGGATGGGGGAGCTCCAGAGGGCCCTTCCAGCCCTCACCAGTCTGGGATGCTGTGATTCCCATGCTTGATGCTTCCTGGGGTCTGAAATCTCATGTTAGGAACCACTACAGTTTGTTTGTGGTTAGTTGTTTTTGTTGGGCTTTTTTTCCCCCTCTGTCCTGAACCTGCTCTTCCCCGTGTTGACAGGAATCTGCTTTTTCACATCTGGGTCTGTATCCTTGCTGGATATTTGTAGGATGTAGCAGATACGGTATTAGCTCTTTGTCCTATGTGCAAAATGGCTTTCCCCTAAAATTCCTTTCCCAATCTCTTAGCCTCAGGAGATGGGATTCTTGGCTGAACTTCCTGTGTGGCCTACAGGGTATTGTCTTTTCTGCAGGCACGTCATACAGGCTTGTCTGAAGTTGACTAAAAGGTCTTTTGTGATCCCAGAAGGCTTGCAAACTCCAGAACATTTGACTTAGAAGCTCAAAAATAAGACGCGCAAGTGCAGTTTGTAACACGGCACCTCAGCCTGTGGTATGCGGTGTTTGGCAGGACTGTGTCATAGGACTGAAGGAAATCTCGAGGCTGTGTTCTCGATATTGCGTGTTTTCAGAGTTCTGCGACACAGCTTGGATGCTCCTGTCTTTTGCAACGCTGAAGCCGAGGGATTCTGGGTCTGTAAATTAAGACCACGAAGCAGGCGACCAGCTGGCTTCACTTAAGTTGTATGCACTCTGATTTTTATTTTTTTGCAGGCATTGCTAGATTCTGCTGATTGTAAGTGTTCCCTTATGTTTCATCAAACACCCAGAGAACAGCAACACCAGGCAAGACAGAATTGACAGTCACCAGCTTAGCGTTTCGTGCTCTGGTTCTGCTTCGCAAGTTGTTTCTTTATGAGCTTTTTTTTTTTTGTTGTTGTTGCGGCAAGTTGGGGATTTTTGTGTGTCCCTTCCCACCTCTGTGTCCTTCTTGTGTTGTTCTCCAGAGACTTGGAGTACAGTAGGTGGAGCGCGGGCTTGCATTGTGTTGCTTTCCTGTGTAGTTGTTGCTCTTGGCCAGCTTTGCTGGCCTTATTTATAGAGAGAAAAATCAGAGATGCTACATTAGCACATGCAGCTGTTGTAATGGGTCTGGTAGTTTCAGTGTGTGTAGAGTCATGAAAGTCAGCTCTGCAGTCTGGAAGGTATTTGTGTTCATGTAATTACTTGCGTCTAGCACCAGTTGCTTCCAACTGAAGATGAGAAACTGCAGCAAAGCGATTTGTGTTCCTTGGGCGAAGCTGTGACGCTGTCAATTTAAACTAATCCCTGTTTCATTAGAAAGCCTCTTATCAGTTACCCTTTGCGCTGTTAACATCGGAAACCCCACTCTTGTCTCCCCAAGCTAACGTGAAACGCTGACGGGTTACGTGAAGGCATGGAGTCTTGCTACCTTCTCTGCATGACCGTGCGCCACCATTTCCCAGTGTGCAGGGGGCAGGCTGGTGGGAGATGGCAGCTGTTACCTGCAGCGTAAAGGTAACTTCTTTATTCTTTTTCTGTGCAGCCGAAGAGGTGGATCACCCCCCAACTGATGCCGGCATGGGGGTAGACGTTTTGGAATCGGGTGACACTACACCTCCTACAAAGAGGAAAAGCAAATTCTCAAGCTTTGGCAAGATCTTCAAACCCTGGAAGTGGAGGAAAAAGAAAAGCAGTGACAAATTTAAGGAGACTTCGGAAGGTAGAGTAATCGGGGCTGGGTGGGAGTCCCTTCCTCAGCTTGGGAAACCTGCTGTCAGCCACCTGGCTAGTGAGAAGGGCTTGCTGTCAGCACTCAGGCTTGTGACATGTGTAAGAACCAAAATGTGACTCTGGTGATGGGCTGGCACCTCAGTCTCTCCAGAAACACCTTGCTATGGAGCAGTAGTTTCAGACAAACAAATTCCTTTCTTGCAAGGAACCTCCCTGAGCAGCTGTGGGGAGGGAGGGTTTGCTCCATGATCACCAATCTAGTGTGAAGCACAGGCCTGAACGTGCAGTCCCTCCTCCCTCTTAATCCATGCAAAAACAGTGAAATTTGAAGCCCTTTTATTTACTCCAGAAGATCCCTTTAAAAAAGTATCTTCTTGAACTTCTAGATTACCCTGTTTTCTGAGTGCTCTTTTTCAATTTAATATCAGTTTTAGAACGAAAGATTTCTATGCGAAAGCCAAGAGAGGAGCTGGTAAAAAGAGGGGTTCTGTTGGAAGACCCTGAGCAGGGTGAGTCTGCAAATGAACTTCTCCTCCTCCTGTCTGTGTTCTGTGTAGCTGATCTTCCTCTGGCAAAACCTCACCCTTGCAGCTGTTCTTTTTTTGGGAGACAAATTTGATGGCTCTTTGCTAATGTAGTTCCTGTCTGTTTGTCTTGCCCTGTTCGATATCCTCTCTCGTCTGACTCTTGCACCTGGCAAGGAAGGCAGCCTGTTCGGTTAGGAAGATGTCGCTAAGAAAGCGCAATGCCTGTCTTGGACATCTTCCTGTCTGCTGCCGGCGGGGAGGGAAGGGATGTTCTGTGTGTTACTTCCTATCCTGTCCTTGTACATGTCCCACTTCAGCCACCTTGTCTTGTCCAGCTAAGCTCCTCTATCACACTTGCGCTCACCATCTCTGGCTCCAGACTGCGCTCTCCCCATCGCAGGAGAGGCGCTGATCTCGGAGCTCAGGTTTGAAGACCTTAGCCTTGGGAAAAGAAACCAACTGATGACTTTGGAGCTGCCTGAGTAGGGGCATTTCCTCAAAGAGTTACAGATGAGGTGCTTCATGGTATGGTGTAATAATTAGTCACAGCTAAGCTTATTGAAGCTTTCCCTGCTGTCAAAGAAGTCTTCAGCCCCTTTTTGTCATCTCTGATGACTCTGAGTTGGGATCATCCTGCTAAAAGAACTTTTCAGGCAGATCAGTTCACCATCTAGTCACCTGGCTGTGTGTTGGGTGATGTGGGTACAAGGGAGGGGACAGGAACGTGTCTGGGTGGCAGTGTGGTCTTTGGCTTAAGAGCGATGTAAAACTGCACCTCCACAGGCATACTGCAGAGGCAGCCTTCACCTAATGCAAATGTCAGGGTTCTCCTAAGAAAGATGCAAAGTGGAAAAGTGGAGGTGAAAAAGTGGTTTTCAGATCAACTACCCGAGGGTGTAAATCCTGGGCTGGAGGAAGAGTTCACGGGGCTACAAGAGTATATGAGGTTACAGGATGAAACTGGAAGAGCGATCGAAGGCTTTGGGTAACAAACTTCCAACTGGAGATGACAGAGGAGAGATCTTTCAAACTGTAAGGGTGTAACAGAAGCGTGGCTAAGAGGTGGAATTATTTTCTGCTTCGAGTCATCTGATCTGGCTTAAGAAAGGGAAGATGGCTATAATCTGGACGAAGTGCAAACCCAAGGTATGAGGGAGCAGTCAGTATTGTCAGGAGGGTTAGATTAGAAAGCGCATTATCTTAATCCCTTCTATGAGTTTAAGACACTTGGGCAGTCATAAGACAGTGGTGGTAGGTTATTGTATTTACTTGCAATTTTAAAACTTACAAGGTCATCTTCAGCAAGTTCTTAAGGGAAAAAATCCTGGAATGGAGTGAGCGAGGAGGTAGGGAAGAGGCATAGTGGAGGCTTTCAAACCCGGTGCAGCTGGGAGAGGATGCCCTGCTGCTCTCTGGACTGGCGGTCAGCAGGTTGTGCTGGGCTCATAGTAAGGAAAGAAGATAGAGTTGGACTGTCTTGACCTTGAAGAAGGTCACTGGAACACAAGTGGAAAGTAAGGTTGTGTGAGGAGGCCATTGGGAGCGTTCTGTGTGTGCTGCAGCTCCATGCCAGAGAAGGGCACACAAAGTTTGAATGGTCAGGAAAGCGAGATCATACTGTTCTGTCTCCCTTGCTGAAAACTTCAGCTAGCCAGAGGCAATTGCTGCTATAAAAAGCTCCGGCTCATCTCTTGAGTTTCAGCCCTGGCTGGGGAGGAAACTCCTTCTGGTTGCTTTCCGTGCTTCCTGCGTTGCAGGGAAGGGCAGCGAAGCAAGTGAGGTAGCGCCGTCTTCCATCTCCTCTCACGATCCAAGACTATTTTTTCAGGAAAAAAAAAAAAAAAAAGCCTGGGGAGCTTTTGGCTTCTTGGCATCTTTGCTTTCAGCTTCTGAAGATCACCAGGTTCGGAGAGAGGAGGTAACACCTTGCGGGGGAGAGGAGAAGTGAAAGCGGCAATGGAATAAATCATCAAAAATCAGAGCAACAGAGCATGCTGGGGGCTGACACCTGGGGGGCCCATGGTGCCATACACTGCAATTGCGTGAGAGATGGTAGCCTGGAAATGCTAAGGATTTTTTTAAATCCAATTGGTGATCTATCTATTCAAGTTTTCTCGAGTGGGAAAGTAGTCAAAATGGGCAGTGCCCCATTAGAATGGATGTTAAGTCTGATTTTTGGGAATAACATTATGAAGAGTTTGTCCTGTCAGGGCAGTTAGAGGCAGAGAATGGTTGAGTATTTCCTCGTTGTGACTAGGGCTTTAAGCGCTGTCAAAAGCATGGGCTGAAAAGAGGATGGGTTTTTTTCCAAAAGAGGTCTTGCTTCTAACAATTGGGAAACTCCATCTGTAAAAGCAGAAATAGTCAAGATGAGCTACATCAGATTCTGGAGATGTATTGTTACATCTGATGAAAACAAAGGTTAAAAAAGGAGGAAATATACCTTGCTGTGGTATGTTTTGGGTAGAGCAGTGATTTTTTTTTTTTTTATTTTTTTTTTTTTGGTGCCAAATTCAGGGTAGAAACAGAAGGACAATAGAGGTACTTAAACTAATTTTAAGACTTTACCAAAACCTAATATCGCATGTCCAGTAGATGACTTGGCCAGTGTTGGAATTTGTATTGCAGCAGAAAATTTGTGAATACTCTGTAGCGGTGGATAGATACAGAAGCTGCTGGAGGCTTATAACTGCAATTGCAACTTCCTTGTGCTGTGGCACACTGGGCACACTGCTCTTAAATGCAGTAGCATTCTTTCTAAACAAGGTGGTAGATTAAGAGGCTGCTGAGCTGCTGAAGAAGAAAAACACTTGATGGGATACGGTGCTGTACTGTTTTGCTTGTTGATAATGAAATCAAGGGCTCTCAGCTTCAGCTCGCTGGCATTGCTGTGCTCTCCTCTGCAGCAGGTAGACTGAAGACCAGCTGTTTTGGAAGCCAGAGAGAAGTTGGTGCGGATCAATGGCAGTTCAGTCAGCTCAGCTGTGTCTCCTCTGTCTCCTGCTTTCTGAGTGTTTTCTGTTTGCTTCTCTCCCCTCCCGTCCCCTTGCAGATGGTGAAGAACCAGACAAGCTGAACCCGCCCGCACTGAAGAATGGCCACACAGTCCCAATCGGTGGTCCCGGGGTTTGTAACCTGGCCAGCCAGGAGGAAGAGGCCACAAAGCCATCCAGGCTTAGGAAG